CCTCGTGAGACACAGGCCCCGCCTCCTCGTGAGGTCCAGGCCACGCCTCCTCGTGAGGTCCAGGCCACGCCTCCTCGTGAGGTCCAGGCCACGCCTCCTCGTGGGTCTCAGTCTGTCTACACCACACACGCTCCCCCTCATGACCCCCCCGTCAAATGTGTTGGAACAGCGGGTGTCCGCAGCCAATCGTGTGGCACAGCGGGGGCCAGCGTCCAGGCGGGGACCCTCCGCAGTGTCACTGTGACCCACCCCCCCGCCAGCCAAGCAGAACACATCGAGAGAGAGGGAGAGAGAGAGTGCCCCCAGTGCTGGACGGATAATGAACAATGCAGCAAAGACAAAGGCAGAAACGGTGCCCCCATTATGGGGCTTTCAACGGGAACACAATGATGCTTTCTTGGTGGGGGGGTGCTGAGGGGGCGCGAGAAGGCCGGCAGGTGTGGCCCCACTCCCAGAAAAGGCCACGGCCTGTTAGAGTGTCAGGGATTAGCAGCGCCATGGCACTAGCACACCCCCCACCACCAACCCCCTCTCCGTTAGGGGCGTCCGGGGGCCACTGAAAGAGCCCAAGTTTTAATTAAGTCGGAGTTGTCAGTGGGAGAGGGAGGGGAGACGGCTTCCTGGCACTTCTCCAGGGTAATTAATTACTGCTATCTTTGTTTCTTTGCGAGGCCAAGGAAGGCTTCCGCAGACAAGCTGGGCTGGCGGGGTGGGGGGGTGGGGTCTCTGAGGAACAGCCGGAAGTCCAGGGGGGGTCCGCAGGCCGGACCGGCAGAGCGGCGCTCACAGAAACCTCACCGCGTCGGTGAAAAGCTCGGGGCGGGAACGCCCCAGAATGCTCCAGCGGGTTGTCCGGAGAAACGACATCCGGCACAAGATAACAGGAGAACAGCTAAATCCGACAGTGAAGGATGCCGAGGTGCCAGATTTACAGGCCGGTCACATCACTGCAGCTGACTCCAGGGTGATGTGACGTGACACTGCTTGTCCCACTGGATACCCCGTCACCACACTGCCTATGGTGGGGGCTTTGGCTCCTCCCCCTTTCTCCCAGCATTCACTAGGTTTCCTCTGGGTCCTCCCGCAGTCCAAAGACACCCACACTTCGTCCCATTTGCTCCACCAAGCACACACTTACACACTACCATACTTGGGGGGTGCATTCTGACGCTCCAAGTATCCAAGGGTGTCCCATTCCTCAAGTAAGCCAAGTGCAGCGCACTTAACGTCTACCTCATCCACACTTTGCCAAATACTGTGGTCTGCATCGATGACGACTAATGTTCCCATTTAACACGAAGAAGTCTGCTGGCCTAACTGAGCGCAACTTGCCTCCTAAGAAGTTTCAGTTTCAGTGTGTATAACGAATGTTCACGCAGCGTAGGCTACAGTGAAGGACAACCCCAAGCACAATTAACACACATGACAACATAGCTGTAGCGTGTTTCCTGTTCACCTCTTCAGATATCAAGTGTGTCCCATTGTCTCCTTGAGCTCTGTACATACACTTACGCACTTTGCGTCTTACGTCAACATACCTCACCTCCGCGCGTAGTATCTTGGTGCACTTGCACTTAAGTGAGGTAAATGGGATGAGCACCCCCCTAAGCGTGCGAGTTTGTCTGTGCCCCGTGATGGACAGAGACCCCAGCCAGTGTGCAGCCCTGCATGCTGGGGACAGGCCCCAGGGACACCCAGTCCCGGTTCAGCAGCTGGAAGATGGGTAGCTGGGTGGTATGTTAATAAGTGTAGGTAAACCCAGCATTCCTCCCAGAGCCGCCCCCCCCTCCCCCCGCGCCAGAGACGCAGCCATACCCGAACGGACGCTTGAAGTCCAGAACCAGAACATCATGTGTCCAGGAGGGGGTTCAGATACTGAGACAATTTCTACGCTCAGTATTACAGCGGCACAAAGAAAATTATCCTCAATTACTGTTTGGAGGGCAGCCAAAAGTATAGCAACCCCAATCTCCCCCCCCCCCCCCCCGGGACTAATCATCTAATATGATGGTTTGTTCCAGGATGTCTCTCTGCATGCCAGGATACTCCCACCCCCATGACAGAGACACCCCCCCTCCCCACAAACACACACAGATTTGTAATTCTAACATTGCGGGGACTCACCGTTCATATCGATAGGAAAACTCTAATCCCAACATGACGACCTTAACCCCTACCCAGCCCTAACCTTAACCATACGTAACCACAGGTTACTGGCATTTTTAGTTTTTGATTGCAGTCACAGATCTTTGTGGGGACCCAAAAATGGCCCCACAATGTCAAAAAAAAATCAGGTTTTATTACAATGTCGGGGACATTTGGTCCCCGCAAAGTAACATAAACTTAATCCCCCCCGACACACACACACACACACACACACACACACACACACACACACAGGGTGAGTCTGTGAAGGCCTCACCATCGAGCGGGGATTTAGGGACGGCAGGGTGGAGCACAGGAAAGGGGCAGAACCATTCAGATCCTCACGGGGGGGGGGGGTTCTTTCACACTGGGATATGCTTCCTAGCTTTTCAACACGCACACAGAAGTTGTGCGACTGCCTTAGAAAAACAATTTAAGAAAATTCCTTTGGAAGAGTTTCTGGGCCAGCTGGGGGGGGCACATGTGCGCCGTCTTTGTCCTGACAGGAACTGACTGAAGACAGATGAAGGCCCTGTGCGGACGGCAGCTCCGCTCATTAACAGAGGAATGAAAAGCAGCCCGCTGAAGTTACAGGAAGCAGCTTATCCCCATGGACGTGTGGCGGGACTCTGCCATTTCTGTGCCTCCCCCACAGCACCCTGGTTCAGCCCACGCATCACCAACCGAATCACCACCGCATCACCTCCCGAATCACCACCGCATCACCTCCCGAATCACCACCGCATCACCACCCGAATCACCACCGCATCACCACCCGAATCACCACCGCATCACCACCCGAATCACCACCACATCACCACCCGAATCACCACCACATCACCTCCCGAATCACCACCCGAATCACCACCCGAATCACCACCGCATCACCACCCGAATCACCACCCGAATCACCACCCGAATCACCACCGCATCACCTACCGCATCACTACCCGAATCACCACCGCATCACCACCCGAATCACCACCGCATCACCTCCCGAATCACCCCCGCATCACCTCCCGAATCACCCCCGCATCACCTCCCGAATCACCCCCTGCATCACCTCCCGAATCACCACCGCATCACCTCCCGAATCACCCCACATAGCACTTCCTGCAGCACCCCCTGAATCCCAAATCACCCCCGTAGCCCCCCACAGCACAGCACGCAGCACCCAGCATGCCCCAAACACAACTGAAAACTGACACAACAGTCATGTTGCCCCTTAAAATACTTTGCATACTTCAAACCCGCTTGCCATTATCTGGGAGCTGCACAAACTGCAAAGTCAGTCAAGACAACTGGCATCACAGAGGCAATTCTTTCAAGTTTCTTTTTCCCTATACTTGTATCTAATCGTCTCGAAATGCAAACCGTGTGTGAAGCAGCTGACCCATTCAAAAAGTGATTAATGATTAATAAA